CTTATTATTAATTCTGGCATTACTGGAACAGTAAAAGATAAATTCCCTCACAAAAGAACATACTTTTTCATTTTCTTAAGGAAGTAGAGCTAATTAAATGACATAAGCAAGACTTGAAAGTGATTCCAGTTTCACTTGATGGCCAACCTGTTGAAACTGTGGCAAATTTTAAAATCCTTGTGTCATTCCTGGACAGTCAGCTCAACTTTGCTGAAAACACTGACTATATCTTTAAGAACTGTTCTCAGAGACTCTATCTATTAAGAAGACCTTGGGGTTACCCAACTTAAGGTTGTATATAACCTCTAGTTAGGTAGAGGTTGTTGAGTTAAAATGCTAAAACTAAACATTTTAACTTGAGTTTTAACTCATCTCAAGTTAAAGCAACATTTTAACTCAAGTTTTAACTTTTCATCTCCTCGACTGGTTTGGTCACATGAGCTGCAGACTAACAGACAATCTTTTAAGAATACTTTGAATGGCAGGTAAAATAGTAGGTAAATAGTGGTGAAACCAAAAACAACTCTGTCTCAACTGTTTGCTGAAAGAACAAGAAATATTTTAGCAGAGAGCATCCATCCTCGTTATTTATCAGTTTGAACCTCTGAGCTCATGAAGGTGTTACTGTGTTCCTCTGGTAATTAAGATAATCTATTAGAGGTCATTTATTGACAGTGCAATAATTATTCTTAACCAAACTAAATAATATTTACCTATAGCATGCTAAGTGTTATTAATTCTTCAAGTACTTCAATGACTAATGTCTATGCTTTTATTTTGAAGTGGTTCCTTTTATTGGAAGGAGGTTTGTTCCATTTATTTCTTCTTCTTGACGTTCAGTTGATCTGTTTGTTGTTTACTGTTGAGACTGGTGCCGCATCATTGACGATGTAAGTTGTGGTGTTAGTCATGTGTCATGAATAGGTGGGTGTTGGTTGTCACTTCTGACAACACTTATTTAGTTACAAGTGTGTTCTATAGTTTTTGAATGTCTGTCTCTTAATGGTTGGAATTTAGTGTTGAAACTATCTTTGTATTTGGCTGTTGGCTGTTGGTCTTGAGATTTGGGCAGTTGGAAATAGACTGATTCCAGGTGCTATTCTGCATCATTCAAATTTAAACAGTGCTTTAGAAAGGAATTAATGCTGATATTTAAAGTTTGTTTGTTCACTGATGTTAATTTTTAAATGGTAATTTGAATCTGTATTATTATTGTATTTTCAGAAACTGCTTCAATTTATTTGCACCGTCCTGTCAGTAATTCTTCAGTAAACCATTTAAACACCCTGATGACCAGCCTGCTTTCTGACCGAAGCCCTATAGTGATCAGTTAAAAAAAAATCCAACAACAGAGGTCAAATCCTCAACACTAAGTGTTTTGCTCTATTCACAAATTGTTGATAATCAATCAATCAATCAATCAATCAAATCTTTATTGCAGACACAAAAAATGTCCATAGAAAAAGGTAAAAACAAGCAAAATAAAATAAAAATAAAAATAAACATGACATGATATTATTCACCGAGTCGCAAATAAATTATGAGGTTCTGCTGGAAATCGGACCGGGAAATTCCGAGTCGATTGCAGAGTTGGATTCCGCTAGTGAAAAACAAGATGGCGAGCCATAACCCAGGAGCCCTGTAATCGTCTAGCAGGAGCTACGCCCTCTGCTGGATATTGCAAATAATCCAAACTGGTATGACCTGCCAATGTTTCCTGCTGAAATAGCAGTGGATTCAGAGAAACGTGATTAACCCTTAAGGATCATCAGAGAGAAAAGACATCGATTTGAAGCACAAGTTATTCGGACTTTTGCTGGATTGTGTCTGTTGTGTTTCATTGGTTTTTTTCCTTTGAACCACATTCAATGTCTGTTGTTACAGTGTGGAATGTAAAATTGTTTGTTGGGTTTAAAATAGAAACAGGAAATTAAAAACTTTAACTTCTTAAAAGAACATTAAACTAAAATAGATTTGAAAGATTAAAACAAACTCTGAATTAAATAGATTAACAGTATCAACTTGAACTTAAATAGAACTATAACCTAGATTTAAATAAATAGTATCCTTTAATACCTAACAATAGGTTTAAATTTCAGAGAAGGGATTAAATAAATTATTCTGAAAGAAACAGGGAAACTATTTTGTATTGAATTTTGTGTCGTTGTATGTCAACTGTTTGTATAATTGTTGTTTATTTTCTTTTCTACAAAAATAATAAGCCAGCAGTTTAAACTTATTTTCTTGTCTGTGGTCATTGATACACTTGCACTTCTCCCTACTCCCGTAGCCGAACCTAGCACTGGTCCTGTTATGAGTCTAGTACTGTAATCACAGGACTAGGACAGTGGGTGTGGGGTCAAAAAAATTTGAAGTTACGGTTTATAGTATGGTGCGCTCATAGTCTGGAAAATACGGTAATTGGTCTTAAAAGATTTTTTGAAAGCGAATTATCTGCAAATAATGCCATCTTTGAGTGTCTTTGCTGTAGTAGTGACTAGCGGCATAATCATGTCATTTTATTACCACTAGATGGCAGCAGGTACAGAGCATTTTACATTAAAACAAGAGAATTGGTGATGCATGAATGTAACAACATTCATGCATCACACACGACAGTGTTGTGGCACTGTTCAGATGTATTTTTGAGGTGGACATGTTAAGTGCAATTTGAAATAAGAAATGTAAAATATGATAAAAAAAAATAAATTTTTGTGTTTGATTCCTATTCAAGACACTTTGATAAGAATGACTATATATGTAATATAGGCGGCTACAGAGTATCTTTGTTTACATTATTGGTTGGTGATGTGCCTCGTGACTTTTTTCAATTAAAACAATGTACCTTGGCTCAAAAACGGTTGAAAAACACTGTCCTAAATGAGGGTAGAATTCTACTAATATCAAATTACAAATATCACTTCAGGTGATATTTAACAAAGTTCTGAGAACTTTAATAACTTTAACTTCATCAATAATATGAACTGTGTAAAGCTAAAGTTTTAACAATTAGTATTGAAAACAATTTTAGCATCATAAGTCAAATAACTTTTCCATAAATTTAATAACAGTAAATAATTTGCAGAACATCAGAAAAGGACAACTAGCACACCAATGTTGTTACAAATGTATTTGTTTGTTACCAATCTAAGACATAAAACATATGTATTAATTGTATTATTTATTCCACACCACTAATCTATACCTTACCCTAGTATATCAATAGTTATCTAGTACTTAATTGACTTTGCTCCTGATTTTTTACTTTAATGTTTAGACTATCAAGCAGGAGAAGACAAGGTTCAGTTTATCCTCAAATACCTTAGAACTATTTGTTCAAGAAAGAAAAGAGTTATAATTGAGTAAAATAATTGGTATTTGTAGGACATCTATTTTTCAATTCTTGACAGAAAATATCGACTCAAAGCATAGCATGATTGTTGACACCAAAGATTGTTTAATATTAGGGGAAAATAGATGCTGCACAATGAAACATTTAATCCAATCCAGTATTTCTTAATGAATGACAGTGAAATACCTTGAAATAAATGCAACTTACATATTGGTTTTCACATGACTCAAGAAATACAATGAACTCTACATGTAGTATGTTTGGGCTGAGTACAAGAGATAAGGGTTGAGTTTAGAATTTGCTGATGAAAGTGAGCTGTTCTCATGGGCGTGTCGGCGATAGTAGCGACGGAGTGCAGGACTGGTTGGATGATGTTGCCTCACATGAAGGAAGTACTCATCAGGCCGGCTTGAGGTATAGCCACAGTCCTCACATACAAAGATCTTAGAGCGTCTCTGTCGGTAGGCATAGTGCTGGTGAACACCGTGAATCTTTCTCATATGGGACTCCAGAGAGCAACGTTGTGTGAAAGCTTTCTCACACAGCTCACATTTGTAGGGACGGATACCTGCAGGAGGGAGAAAAATAAAGAATAAAACATAGTAGTACTGTCACCTGTGGTTGTTGTTTAATCTTTTTTCAACCAGTTACCTTTTGGCAGTAAGTTAGGTCATAAAATATTTGTCCTCCTGAGTCTGAGGTTTATCAATGCACACTGTGGACTATAGAAGATACTACAATGATTCCTGGAAACATTACCATCAATGAATGGATTCCATATCACAGAGGACTAAAGTATCTAATTCAGGAAAAAAAGCTGTAATAATTTCAAAAAGTTCTTGACCTTGATATTCAAATGTAGTTTGTGCATAACGTTTTCTCAAAATTAACTTGTGAATTTCCCCCAAAAAAGGTCAGATAGACATATTGCAGCAAAAATCTATAATAGAGAGTTCCAATAATGTGATTAATCTTGGCAACCACAGGGGGAAAAAAAAGTTGCATCTTGGTTAACTTAGAACAGTATCCAGATTTAACAAATTCCAGGCTTGCAACTTTTCCTCCATCCCCTGGCCAGCACACCTGAATTCGCTCAAAACCTCTCCCTCAGCTGGCTGGTTGTGGTCTTTATATGCCTTCCTCATTTCCTGGTTGGCAGGTGTATAAGAACTTTGTGTGTAGTGTGGAATCAGCAGCAATATGACCGGCCTTCCTTTGCAATCTGCTAACATTGACCAAATCCAGGCCTGGGAGCTGACACCCATAATCAGCTGGGCAATTTTGGAGCTGCTATATCACACAGTCATACTGAGAAAGACGATGTCCTCAATCACAGCTCTGTTAAAGTTTCTGAGCAGCTGAGGGTAGAGTTCAGCACTTTCCTGAAGAAGAAGAGTCTTTGTTGGTCCTTCTTCTCCAGAAAAGACATGTTGTGTGACCAAGACAGGTCAGAGGTCATGTGGATGTCAAGAATTTGATGTTACACACAAACTCCCCCCTTTGATGAGGAGAGGTGAGCAAAGTCTGAAGTTAAAAAACTAAAACTGCATTGAGCAAGGATTAAATTATCAGCATCTGTTCAAGATTCATCCCTTTCACTTCATCACAAAAAGGAAAACTGACCAATATAACAAATGTTACAAAATCTGGATGTTTTAATATAATAACTTTTTTCTTTAGTTGGTCTTCTATTCCATCGTTATTTGAAGCTGTGAACTCCAGATGGTGAACCATATGTTCTATTACTTTCCTACACATTTTCTCATTCTCTGTGAAGAGAATATAAATTATTTTTATATAAGCAATTGAAATCTCTAACCTGTGTGTGTTCGCATGTGCCTCTTGAGGTCAAAGGTGTCATTGAATCCTTTGCCACAGAATCGACAGGGGTGTCTCTTTACAAGACTGTGGCATTTGAGGTGGCGTGTCAACATGCGCTGCAGGGGAAAGATTTTGTGGCACAGTGAGCACCCAAAATCACCTGAAACAGGCGTACTGCGAGGGCGGGCCTGCAAGAGAAACACTAATTTAAGAAAGTTGATTATAGAATTTTACAGGATTCATTTCCTGTTATTATGAAGAATTGGAACTACATTCCATTGAGGTTTACTATACAGTGATTGCAAGGGTCTCTGTTCTCTGAGCGATTCACTGGCGGAGCAGATTTATTCCTAAAAGATGGATTTATAGAAGATAGGTTTATAGTTGATTTATTTAGAAAGAACATGTGTCCAAGGCTGTATGAGGCCTTGAGCAAAGTTTGACTTGGGGGCCCTTCTTGCTGCTAAAAACATCAACATCTTTAACAGCTTCTTTGTTGGACTTAGTGAAATCTGGGAGAGGGGCAGTAGTTTAGTTGGCCAACCTAAAAAGCAATAAGTTATAATTGCAGTTTA